GTAAAAATGTCTGGGTCTGGAAACTTGTGATGCTGGGTGGCGTCTCATGATGAGGCTACAAATGCTGGCTCAGCATGACAAGTTTCTGAGCTCCTCGGTGTTGCCTATTCTGCATGACAAACTGCACTTCTGCATCACAGAAAAACGGAGCTCTTGGGTAACGGGCATGACAGATTTGAGAGTCATGCCAGACAAGCATGACAAACATGAATTCCTCCAGACCCAGACATTTTTACATTTGATACCATCGCAGCATCAAGTTCGTGAAAAATTCGCGTCGGTTCGCCACGGCCGATGGACGCTCGTATTGAGAGGAAAAATCCCCCCTCCCCATATTTAAAAGGTATGCTTCCAAACATTTGTGTTGCGGATTTGAGGTCACAAATCACATCTGTCTTGCAAGAAGACAAGGGCAGAAGTTTCCGCCATATTATGGAAGCTGTTTGTCATGCTGTTGGGCCTAAAGGGGAACCGTTTGCCATGCTGAACAACTAGACTCATACGCCCCTACCTAGCCTGGGGATCTGGCCGCCATGCCTCTCTGCAATACAAAGCTGATTTGTGGCCACAAATCAGCAGCACAAATTTCCGCTTTGATATGGGGAGGGGGGATTTTTCATTTTGATAGCTCGCATCTCGTCCCTTCTTCCGCGCTCTATCACGAAAAGATCTCCCTTTGGATTTGCGGTTTGGAGATTTTCGTGGTGGAGAATCATTTTCAGGCGGATGAACACGCAAGTCGAGCCAAGACCAAGCTGCAGTCCGCGGACTCGGTGAGGCAAGAAGTGAAGATAGTCAGTGACGAGGTATGCATTGCACAAGTATCGTACTAGGAGAAATCGCATGAGAAATGTCCGCAGCATGAGAAATGGAATTTCTGATGCTGCTTCACCTTGGGAATCAGATTTGTAATGCAAGACTGCGAAGATTTTTACTACGAGTGCGATTCTTTTGCACAGCATACGAGGAAGACGACGTTGATTTTGGGCCGATCTTCGACGACCCCGTCCCAGGTCCTGGTCCCGCGCCCACGCCCGCCCCGCCCGCCGGACCCCCGCCGCCCCCGCCGGAGCCCACGCAGCCGGGGGGCTGCTATTCTGAGTATAAAACATCCCCACCCCAGAGCTGTCATTCTCTCCTTTTTAACTTCAACAAAGTTCGAAACTCTTCTGTGCTTTAAATTTGGTCTTTTCCAGTACATAAAACACCCCAGAGCTGTCATGCAGATTTGCAGTCACAGGAGGATGTATAATGCGCATCCCCATGAGAGGCATTCCCAGTCGTGTTTTGGACTTTCTTGTAATGCTGCAAACAGGATGAGTAGATGGCTTTGTGATGCGGCTGCACCTGCTAAACTGCACTACAATACAGAGAGGAACTACTTGTCATGCGTGACTCCCAAAACTTCTCGGCTTGTGTTGCGAGATCCCCATCTTGACTCTGGGTTGGGGACGTTTTTCCTCAGGATAGCCGCAGTCCCGTCACGACGGAGCCGCGCTACACCGATATCTCGCACTTGCGGACGCCGCTGTGCGTGGCCGAGTGGGCCGGCAACCTGATCGGGGGCAGTCTGGGCTGGTGCGGGGGGGAGGAGGGGGCGCACCGATTGCATGTCAACGCCAATTCGAACAACGATCTGTCGGTCAAGGCCTGCGACGCCGAGTGCCGCAGCACGTCACTGTGTACGCACTTATGCATTGCAAAAGTATTGTAGTTGTACTCGTATATTGAATGCATATACAAATTTCCTCAGCATGAGAAATAAAATTTGTAATGCGGATTCACCTTAAGAAAAAGATTTGTAATGCATGATTGCAATACAACGAGTACTCCCCAAGAGATTTGAATCGAGCACTGCCCGAGATTTTAGGTGATGAATATTTGAAAAAATGAAAAGAGTGAGAAACTGTTTTAATTTTTGCAGCGCGCGCAAGCTTGCGCTGCCGGGGGGCTTCGCCCTCCCCATGTTCGCGGAAGATTTTGGACTTTGCCCCGCCCCTTCGGCTTTTTCTTTCTTTGCGTGTAGTGTAGCCTCGGCAGGCGATTCGTTTTCCCCGCCACCGGCTCGCGTGCTGACGTGGGCGCCTTTGGGGTGTTGTCCGTTTTTTATGTTGCCCGCGCGGCGCGGGTCTCCATGTCAGAGCTAAGGCGTGCGGCTCCGTGGCGCTTTGTGCTTTATTTTGCCGGGGCTTTTTTTTGCATTTTTGCTATTTATTTTATGCCAGTAGGAACATGAACAGCAGCCCGCCTGCCTCTGCAGTTGGCGCCCTTTTTCTCTTTTTCGTGTCGAAATTTTCGTGGGCCAAACACGCGGCGCCGGCTGTGTCTTTCGCACTTTGCTTCCAGAGCTAGTGGCGCGACTGCTTCGCGTAAGCGCCCCTGAATTAGCACCAAGCGAGGCTCTTCGTTGGTTTTCCATGTAATGCAATCCCGGAGGCCGGTCCGGCGTGTCAGCCAGCGGCCTGCTTCTTGGTGCGGACATTTTTCTGGCGTTTTTCGTTTCGCGCGTTGGTCGCGTGGCGTTTATCTTCATGTCAGGGCGCAGAAGAGTGACGCGGCGGCGTTTTTCGCTCCTTGTCTGCATTTGTGGGCTTACTATCCTTGCTGCGCTGCAGCGCCAGCCCCGACTTACCAAGCATGAGAGGCGCCGCGGTTGCTAAGGTTTTACGCTAAAAGTGGCGACGCTGTCCATGTTTTGCCTTCGTCTTCCTTTTTGGGTGTCTTTCCGTTGCTTTTTTGCCGTACTTCGTTCATTTTGTTGCGTTTTTGCGCCTTTTCGAGCTACGCGGAGCTTTTCTGGCGCATTTTGGGGCTAAAAACGAACAAACTGCCTGGGGCTGGTTATTTTCGCCGCCGGTTTGCCGTATTTCGTTCATTTCGTCGCGCTTTTGTGCCTTTTTAAGTTGGAGGAAGTTTCTGTGGCGCATTTTGGTCCTCAGAACGGCCAAACTGTCTGGAATTGGCCTGGCGGATGCGATAGCGCCACCGCTCTGCGGACTTGCTCCTGCAAAATCACCGGCGCGCGCCTTGTCGCGCTTTTGCGCCTTTTTGGAGAATTTGCAAAGTGTTGCACTTTTTCACCTATTTCGATGGCTTTGCGACGTTTTTGCTTTAGTTTGCGTCTGTTGGTGCATTTGCGCACCTTTTTGAGCTGAGGGGAGCTCTTTTGGCGCATTTTGGTCCTAAGTACGACCAAACTGTCGGGAGTTAGCCTTACGGGTGCGACAGCGCCAACGCGCTGTGAACCGCTGCAAAATCATCGGCGCGCGCAATGTTGCGACTTTGCGCATTTTTCGAGAATGCGCATAGTGGCGCACTTTTGTGCCTATTTTGAAAAATTTGCGCCATTTCCGCCTTAGTTTTTGCATTTTGGCGCATTTGCGCAATTTTTAGGCTTAACAAGGTGGCCCCGCCGTGCGCTTTTTCGTCCAACCATTTCGCTCTTTTTGACTTAACAAGACCTGTTCTGCAGTGACATGAGTCGAATTAGCACCAAAAAGGTGCGTCTGTACCTTAAGAAAATTGGCATTTTTCTTTCCATGTGATACATGTTTGCAATACAAGTTGATAACTTCTGCAAAATTAGTCGCCTTTTTGTCTTTTTGGCTTAGCGAGACCCAATCTGCACCAGGATGGCCCTAGTTAGCACGAAGAAGCTGTCTCTTTGCCGTTGTTTGCGCGTATTTCGTTCATGCTATTGCGCCCTGTGCGCCTGTGAGCTAAAGCGGCCACGTTTTGCGGGATTTTGCTTTCAAACCGGCCGCGGCGCCTGAAATAAAGGCCACCGGTGCGGCTTCTGCTGCTGCGCTGGAATATTGTAAAAACGCAGAACCGTCCACGCAGCCGGGGTTGTGGCCTTTTTGCTGAGTGTGCAAAATGTTGCACCTTTGCCCTAAATCCTGCACATGTGCCACGTTTTTGGCTTAATTTGTGCACTTTTGTGCATTTGTGCAATTTTTAGGCTTAACTCTATCCGTCACACGGTGCAGCTGCAGCGCGTTTTTGCCTTTTTGAGTTAACAAGAGCGATTCTGCATGAAAATGTCGCTAGTTAGCATCAAAAAGACGGCTTTTTTTCTTAAAAAATTCTTGACCGTTTTTGGCATGTGATGCATGTTTGCAGTACAAGTTAGAGACGATACTTTTGCACAGGATAGCACTTTGTGATCGACAATGTGGACAACCCCATCACGTGCCACTTCTACAAGTCGGGCTGCGAGACGCGCAACCCGGCGTTTGGGGATAAGCCGCACGACACCGCGCCGAACACGCGAAAGTCCAAGATTGCGTACAGCCTCGCGAAGAACCTGGCTACCTGCATTGACAGTCACGACGTGCCGCTGCTTCGCGAGCCCGACACGCGGTGCACGCACTATGGGGCTCTCAAACGTATACATTCTCAGCTGTTACATGATCTGTCATGCAAAATGACCATGACCCGCCAGACGATCAAGCTGCTGCGCATGACAAATTCTCGAGGTGGGCTAAAAAGCACTACAATCCGCACCAAACCTGTAATGCAAGACGCGCAAGGGTCTCCCTCTCACCTCTGCTAGTCTTGCATTACAAATTCATGTAACAGTTGAGAATGTAACGTTTGAGAACGCCATACCCACGTCATGGCCACCTGCGCGACGAGCGGGTACGACACGAAGAATCTGTACAACTTATCAGAATGAAAAATCCTTTCTCCCCATATCAAAACGAAACTGCTGATGCTGGATTTGCGTACACAAATCAGATTTGTCTTGCTGGCGAGGACCACTGCAGACCCATACTAAGCCCGAGGAGACAGGTTTTGGCCTTGGCGCTTTGCATGACAGACGTCTACGCTGTCGGTACAACAGCTGCATGACAAACCGCCTTTAGAATTCGGTGGAGCTTCTTGTGGAGTTGCCTTCATGCAACACAGAGACGATTTCGATTTGTGGTCAACACAAATCAGCAACACAAATTCTCGAAAACGTGCCTTGTCAATATGGGAGGGGGATTCGGATTGTTCCTTTTGATGCAACTACATTGACCGGTACTACACCAAAGCCGAGTGCCGCTACTTGTGCGCCGCGACGGAGAAGTGCACGCAGTTTGTGCACGGCTACCAGCCGAATACGGGGTCGGCCCCCACCAGCCTGAACGTCGGGGACAAGCGAGGGCACTATCCTGAGTAAAAACGTACCCACACCAGAGTCAGGATGAGGATTTTGCAACACAAACCTAGGAGTTTTGTGAGTCACGCATGACAAGTTGGACTATGCAGTGTAGTGCAGGTTAGCAAGTGCAGCCGCGTCACAGCTTCATCTGCTCATCCTGTTCACAGCATCACAAATCCCAAAACAGGATTGGAAATGGCTCTCATGGGGATGCGCATTACAAGTCTTCCTGTCTTTGCAAATCTGCATTACAACTCTGGTGTGGGTATGTTTTTACTCACGATAGCCACTGCTACCTGTTCAAAGACACGTGCACCCCGGACAACGCCTCGTCCGCAACGCAGATATGACAGTGCACAACTCCCCCGCGTTCTCATTTCTCATGCAAAATCCCGAATCCAGTTGCTCCCTTTCGTCACTATTATGAATGACAAATTTTTCCGGAAGCCCAAACAGTACTACACGCGGCCGCGCGTGAACTTGTCATACACAGGCTCCACGTGTGCTCGTGTTTGTAATTGTATTGTTGTGTATGCCATACCGATCATGAAGGCGAGGGGGAGGCTGTGCACTGTCATAGCAAAAGGGATACAATTTGAATGCCTGCCCGGTGCAGGGCAAGGTTTGCCCGGCCGTGTTCGGGGGTGGATGCTTGTCGAACAATTTGTACCGCAGCCACAGCGTGACTCGCGTGGAGCAAGCGTCCGGCATGGTGGACACCCCCCATTCCGACTACGACGTTCAAGCCAGGTTCCGGGGGTACCACCGGATGGTTGGCGCGATCTTCCATAACCACGGCGGCGGGTTATGGACCTCGTTCTACCAATACGGGTGTATGGAGACGCAGGACCAGTACTCGGGGTTTCGGCTGTTTCACCTCCAGCAAAACGACGTGATGTGCAAGCAGGCGGTCCCGCGCGTCACGACCGCCACCTGTCCCGCGGCCTGGGACGGCATATGCGGCAGCAATGCCAACCTGGCGGGAAAGTTTTATGGCCCCTTGGACATCGACAATGGTATGAAATACACGGACATGACCTACGACGCGGAAAAGTGCCGCTACCTGTGCGAGAAAACCCCGGAGTGCGCGGAGTTTAACGTGCAGCAGGACAATATGGAACTGTCAGGATTAAAATCGTCAAAGTTGAAATAGTTTGTGATGCATAGAATGGATGCCAGTTGGGACCCAGTTCTCAAGCGGCGCATCACAAATTTTGGCGATGCCTAAATCCAGTTTGTCATGCTGTTTAGGCAAAGATGACTGATTTTCTCATGCTACTTTAGCAGCTCGAGCTCTAACCCCAAACAGGCTCACAATCGGCCTCCCTTGCCTGCTCTGCAATGCACGTATTTCGCGCTATGCATTTTATGCATCACAAATTCTTTCAACTTTGACGATTTCAGTCCTGACGCTTCCATAGACAACGGGCAGTGCCACCTGTACAAGACCGGGTGCACGAATCCCGGAAGCAACGACGCCAATTACAAGCACTACCGTCTGGCGGACTGCTATGCGAAGAAAAAAGTGTTAGAGTTACACCTTGTGTTGCGAAACAAGCAAGACAGGCAACCTTTGTCATCCAGGAAATGCTTGCCAGCCTCATTTCATTCGTGTTTTATTCCCTTATAGTCTGCGCATCACAGGTTTGCTTTGGCATGTCGAGCAACTTTGTGATGCAGAAACTCCAACAAATGTGTAACTGTAACACTTTTTTCGTGGGATAACTGCGGGCTGAAAAACGAGGGCATAAGCGGCACGCTCGTTCCCCGGTGGGCGGTCACGACCACCTATCAAATGTAAAAATGTCTGGGTCTGGAAGAATGCAAGTTTGTCATGCTTGTCTGGCATGACTCTTGAATCTGTCATGCACATTACCAAAGAGCCCCACTTTTATGTCATGCAGAAACGTAGTCTGTCATGCAGAATAGGCAACACCTAGAAGCTCAGAAACTCGTCATGCTGAGCCAGCAATTGTCGCCTCCTCATGATACGCCACACAGCATCACAAGTTTCCAGACCCAGACATTTTTACATACGATACCACCTTTTCCGGAGCAGGCGACAGCGAGCCGCAAACGCATATGGCGTTCTCAAACGTTACATTCCCAACTGTTACATGATTTGTCATGCAAAAACGCTATCACTCTTGTTCACGCGATCAAGCCCCTTTCGCATGACAACAACTTCTCGACGACGCGCTAAATAGCTGCACTAGAATCCATGATCCCAAATTTGTAATGCAAAAGGCGCAATCTACTTTCTGTTTCTCCGTTTACTTTTGCCATTCTTACATTACAAATTGAAACTCATGTACGAACACTTGAGGATGTAACGTTTGAAAATCCCATGACGCACTACCCCGGAAAACCGTTGAACCGGAAAGAGTTCGACTTTCGCATGTACGATATCAAAAGGAAAGACAAAGATCCTTTCTCCCCAGATCAAAAGGAAGTTTCTGATGCTGGATTTCCGTACACAAATCAGATTTGTCTTGCAGAAAGTGTTTCGTGGCATTTTCTAAGCCTGGTGCTTCGGTATGCAGAAGGCCGCTAGCAATTACGCATCACTACCAGGTCCTCTGCAGTAGTCGAAACCGCATCACAGATCGGCTGCGGTGGAATGGGCCACAGGGCTTCCATTACCCGAGAAGCAAGACAAAGGGGAGTTGTGGGCACATATCAGCATCACAAATTTTCTTTTTGATATGGGGAGGGAGGATTTTTCATTGTAATATATGAAAACGACCAGGACCACGGCGGCCTGGTGTTCTGCACCCTGTTCGCGATGGACGGGGGGACCAACCGCGCGTGGTGGAAGGCGACCTTCAACGACAACTGTTTTCACATGGTCTCGGGGATGATGGTATTCGCGCAGGGGGGATCGCACTATGACAATGCACAACTCGTCCCCCTGCTCCCCCTCATTTGTCATGCAAAATTCCAAATCCAACCTTTGCCTGTTAACACTGTTTGCATGACGGATTGTTCCGCAATCCAAAACAGCACTACTGTCCTCTACTGGGAATTTGTCATGCAAAACCTGCATCTTTGCCAGCGCTTGTGTTGCTGTTGAGGGGGAGGGGGAGTTATGCACTGTCATACGCACACGTGTCGCCATATGGAAGTGTCAGAATCGAAATTGACAAAGTCGAAAAGTTTGTGATGCATAAAATCGATACCAGTTGGAGCCTCAGTTTCCAAGTGGCGCATGACAAATTTCGGGAGCACCCAGATCCAGTCTGTAATGCTGTTTGGACAAAGAAGACTGCTCCTGTCATGTTACTCTGGCAGCACATGACATACCCCCAAACAGGCTCGCAATCGGTCTCATTTGCGTGCTCCCCAATACAGGCCTTCAGTGCCCTACATTTTATGCAACACAAGTTTTTCGATTTTGTCGATTTCGATCCTGACACATCCATACGCCAGTCGTTTTCCACGGCCGGGTATCCAAGAAAAAAAGATTGTAGCTGTAAGTTTTTTGGCTGATCAGCATTACAAATCTGTCTGGCATGTTGACAGCAGAAACCTGTCGTGCGCAGATAGCATGTCAAAACGCGCTTGAATGGACCCTGCAATGCATGTCCAGCATGACATACGCAATCATCTTGCGTGTTGCGCATCACAAACTTACACTAACAATGTTTTTTTCCTGCATACCGGGCAGGTTGTGTATTCGGAAGAAGGGGGGACGGAGACCACGGCGCCCCTGGGAACGATTTCCGAAACCGGGACCTGGGTAGTGGTGAACAAGTGGGTCAACAGCATCAAGATCGAGGGCGCGGAAAACGCACAGACGACGTGTTTCTGCGGCGTTTGGATCTACGAGAGCACCACCACCACCACGACCACCGGGGCGCCCCTGCCACTTTCATACCGAATGACATCGATCGAAACCTTGACCAACCCCGTCTGCGTCGCTGCTTTGTCCGGGCAGTGTCCCTCCCACGCCACGGACAAGATCGGCGAGACGACTACGAGCCCGAGCTTGAAACAATGCGACGCGGACTGCCGGGCGTTGGAAAACTGTGTCGGATTTTCGTTTTCGAGAATTAGTGGGACCATGAGTTGTTCGCACTTCAAGGAGGGCTGCACAGATGCAACGGGCAGTACAAGGAAAGAGACGGTGTACTATGACTTGCAGAAGAATGCGGATTTGTGTATCAGTGCCCACGAAGTACCGGAAGTCGACACTTGTCCAGTCGCCATCGATGGAGACTGCGAGCCGCCCACGGCGGACACCGGAGATTTCAATTTGGCGGTGTACAACGACCGCGCCTACACGCTTTCCGAGTGCCGCTACCTGTGCGCCATGACCCCGGGTTGCGCGTCGTTTTTTGTGTTGCAGAGCTACCCGGAACGCTGCAAGTTGTTCCCGACGGGCTGCTCGTTGAAAGTGTCATCCTTTTGGAAGGGCTACAACTTGAAAAACTGCAATTTAAAGGAGCTGCAGGTCTGCCCCGCGCAGTGGGGCGGGTTTTGCAAAAACACCGACACCCTCCAGCTACCCTCCTTCAACGAGGCGGCCTTTCCCATCAACGCTCCTGGAATCACGACCCTACTGCAAAACTCACTGACGAAAACCCGCGTGATGGATTACGACCACTACTGCCGGGGACGGGGCTACAGCTCCACGGCAGGGGATAGGTGTGCGGGGTACGCCCGCCACGTGGCTACAGGCGCCGCGGAGTATTTTAAAGACGGGTGCAGCCAGGACCTGCAGAGCTCTGGGTGGGCGTATTTCAGCATGCATGGGAACCGCATGAACTGTCGCACGCACGTGCCCCGGGTGACGTTCTGCCCGCCGGCGTGGGGGAGCTGGTGCTCGAACTGGAAGGAGAAGCAAATCGGCACCGGTCTTTTTTACAACGACCAGTCGTACACCAAGGACGCTTGCTACTACCTCTGCTCCAAGACGCCCGGGTGCGCCACCTTCTGGTGGCGGGGCAACGCGGGTACCTGCGCACTGTTCCGGGAGGGGTGCGAGCCCAGCACGGAACTCCCCCGCGAGGGCGAGATCTTCCACATGTCGAATTGCCAAACGTACGGCGTGCTGCCGCAACTGATCGGGAAGGCGGACATTGTGCCGCACTTCGCCCTGAAAACGGCGTTCAGCGCGGGCGCGACGGACGGCCACAATTCGCAGTACGCAAACCTAAATTTCCCAGAGCGGGCTCTGTTCCGACCGGAGTTTTTTGTGGGGGCGGCGGAGCAGGGCGATTCCCGGGACTGCTGCTTCGACTACGCTTGCATCAAGATAGTGCCCACCTCACCAGGCGGGCAAAGCTGGTGGGAGGCGGAGTTTGCCGACAAAGGCTACCACCTAGTCTATTGTGAGAAAAAATCCCGCCTCCCCATTATATTGAAGACGCATCCTTCCGAAAATTTCTGATGCATATTTGTGGCCACAAATCCTGTCTGTCTTGCCAGAAGGCAAAAAACTCAGAGAGTCCGCCACGTTATCCAGGCGCTTTGTCATGCTGTAAGGCCTACAGGGTAGACGTCTGCCATGCTAGGCGCGTATATCAAGGGACCCCTGTCGAGGCTTGGGATCTGCCTGCAGTCTTGTACTGCAATACAAATCTGATTCGTGTACACAAATCCCGCATCACAGATTTGCTCCACTTTGATATGGGGATCATTTTTCCTTTTGAAATAGTCACCGGGTTCATGATCTTCAAGCACGAAGGGTGGCAGGACGCGTGCGCGAATGGGTTCAATAACAATCAGGCGAACGCTATGGAAGCGTCAGGACCGAAATCGTCGAAGTTGATGTTGAAATAGTTTGTGATGCATAAAATGCAACGCAAAAATTGCCTGTCTTGCACTGTAGTCAACAAGTGAGGCAGATTGCAAGCTTGTTAAGGGGCAGCAACTGAGGCGCTAAAGTACCATGACAAAAGGCGTCTTC